CAACTTACTATAATTCTTCATTCCAGATCTGTTTTTTTTTTTGTTTTTTTAAGTCAAATTCTCAAACACGCTGACAGATAGACCAAAAGGCAAAAACATACCAGCGGAAAAAAGGAGGCTGGCACAACACACAGTTTTGCTTCTTAAACATGAGTTCGGTGACCCCAAATTAAGTATAGGATGGTGGAGCTAGCGAGCTTGCATACATTGTACCTATGTAGTCATCGACAAACACACGTCTAGTTGACTCCGTTATGCTTGATGTCTAACAATGATAATTAAACCCACCAAAATTCACTAAATTCGTTTACTGTGACTTTTGGGCGAAAACGATTTTTTATGTTACCGAAATTAATGCCAGTAAAAAAAAAAAAAATTGATATACATTGTTCTTCAGCAACTGTGTTCACATTATCACACCACTTAAAGCTACACATTTACATAAGCTATGAACTAATTAAAAAAGGTTCTTATGGTTAGCAAGTTTCAATTGACGAGAAGTCTTACTGATCGTTCTCCACAGGAACCTTGTGCCAAACTAGATAAGCTTATTTACAGCAAACTAAGAATTTAAACAGGTTTGGTTATCTAAAATCTTATGGTTCAATAATTTCAACTCAAGCAGTAGCTTAAAAAAAAATGTAGTTTTACATAAATTATAGCTTTTAATAATATATTCTGTCGTGTCGCCAGCAACATACCAAGTCCGTAGTTGGTGCTGCTACCTCAGCTGCCACTGCTTATTCAGTGATTCATGAAATATGTGAAGGTGGGAGGTTAGTGCAGGAACTGCTATATAGTTTATAATACAAATTCAAACACGCCGAAAAGATTTCTGTACGATTATTATCCTTATGTAAAGCTACGATTTTTTAGTGATAGATTACTTGAAGTAACGAAGTACATTACAATTAATCTAGTATTTATCGTCTGTATTACAATAACAAAGCTTAAAGCATACTTATTAATGCCGGCAGTTTTAAAATTCTAAACTTTCATCTTGTACATTTTTTTTTGCCATAAGAAATGCAATAAAATATTTTTGGTTTATTTTTTAAAATACAGTCCCTTATCTCCAGTCATTTTTTCTTTTGTTATTGATGTCTGCATTCTTTTCATTCTAAGTATCCATTTCTAATTTATTTTTTTTAGCAACTCTTAAATTTCAACTTCTGAGATCGCCATCCTTTGAGTAGTAAATTTGACTGATCAGATTTTAAGACGGTGTGTGGAGGTGGCGGAGGGCGAGACATGCCTTTTAAACAGAAAAAAAAAGTAAGAAAAACATTAAGATTGGTTGAATAAAGAAAGGGCAATGTTGAAATGACATTCACTGATTTAATGCAAAATTAGAAAAAAAAAAAAAAAAGAAGAAAATGAAGGACTCCTTCCACCGTTTTCAGTAGTGCTTAAAAATTTTTTTAACTTGGCTGTAATAAATGTGTTTTAAGTCATTAGTAGACATTTAGAGAGCTAATTGAAACACTTAATGAAAGTTATTAATTTGAGCATAATTTTTATAACCATTATAAATTGACAGAAATTATCAGAAATTACGAAACTTTATTTTCTTGCTGGAAACAATTCAAATGGAATATCAATTTTCATTAGTTAATTATATCATCATGCTATGTGAACAAGTATAGCTCAGTTTGTTCAATATAATAAAACGCCCGCATTCAAGTCATGCGAATAGAAAAAAAAAATAATTATTGTGAGAAGAGAAGTTATTATTCAATCATTAGGACTTAAGAAACATGAAAAACATTATGAATTACATTCGTTTTAAAAGTTACATGCATAGTGGAAAACACCTGATAACTTAGTTGCGAACGTACAGACAAGATAAAATCCATTATATAGCAATTACTTTAAATCAGAACTTAAAGCTAAGAATTAAATAAATTAAATATGCATATACACGACACTGTTTTTTGCAATCGCATAAAAAAGTGGAAAGAAACCTTCGTTTCGAACGCGTTTCTTTTGTTCAAAGACTTAAAAAAGAAAAAAAGCAACAAACACGATGAAATAACTACTTGCAAGTAGTACTAACTAAACCGAAACGTGTAGTGTCAGATTTTCTTACACCGGGATCAAGATGCATAGTGAAAGAAGCTACTACTTTTCGGTTGGAAGATCGAAGTGTGAGAAAGACAAGACAGGAATTGATTTAAATGTGTACGCATATTTCAAAATAATTTGTAGAGACGTCTGTCGTCACTTGTTGAAAAGTTAAAAATTAAACACTAAAGAATCTTATTTTTCCGAACACTTATGAGTAACAATGAAAGAGGAACCATAGTAGTAATCATAGCAGTGATTTGTGCGCACACTCCCACTTTCGTTAAGTGTCAAATCGACCAGTGCTTGTGTTCGCTTCCTACTGCTGCTTCTCTAACACCGGCCGGTTTGCTGTGCTGTTTAGTTTTTTAATGTTATGATTTTTTTACAAAATTTAGATGTGTAAATTATAGCTAGAAATGCGAGAAATATTTAATTATGCTAAACGAGATCGTTGATTGAAAATGAAATTAACGCAAATACGTGTTAAGAAGATCAATAAGCTGTGGAGACAATGACTTCCTAGTCTTGTTTTTTTGGGGGCTTTTCTCTCCTATATTCATTCATGCAGCAAGCCGACTCTTCGTTCAGAAATAAATACCCGATAACTATTTTTAAATGGTAATTTTAGATTTATAAGAAGAAGAAACCATTGTTATTAAAGTTAAAAATGCTACCAGAAAATGAAGCAATCATTTTATTTTTTTTATATAACCATTTTTAAAATGTTTGTAGTTCTGCTGAACTGATATTTGTGGAATATGGAATTATATAGTAAATTAGATGACTTGTAACCGACTGTCATTGCAAGAATATGAATTAGTTTCTTAAATGTTTAAGACTTTTTCCTTACATAATGGTAGCAGTTTGAACATTTCATGATTAAAGAGAAGAAAAAGAATATACTTGGAAATTTCTTGCGATTTATTTTCAATGGATATCACAAAATCGCAAACCATAATTCTTTCAATGAAAACGTTTCGGATGAATTGGATTTAGGTGACGTCCGAATAAAAAAAAATCGATCAGCCTCAATAAGACGAGATAAAGAGACGATATTGCAAATCGGTTTAGAACAAGTGTTTTTCATTAAACACACATCCTTTAATCTTTTAAAAGTATATTCCTAACTGTATCTGACAAAAATAAAAAAACGTTTTAAGTTTTAATATGTAAAACAAGTCACTTATGTTTAGTCTAAGGGACTAAAATCTTGAGGGTTTTCAAATATTAATTTTATATGCATAACAAATTTACATGGTCGGAAGTTTAAATTCTGAATTTTTAAAACGAAAAATCATATTTATAAACTGCTAAGAATAAAAGAAAATAACATACCATTACGAAATTTTCTGTTCTTCAAATATTGCATAACGCTCTGGCAAAGGTTAATGAAACGAGTGACAGACGGACTTGTACAGAAAAGAATGATAATGTAGAAAAATCTTTTTCAAAAAATCGAAACGGAGTTAACTTTGGAAAACAGATTGTAAGGGGTTTTATGTGAGTGCGTGCAAAATAGGGGAGGGAGAGAAACGTCGGGAGTTGGTGAAATAAGCAAAGGTTTTTTTTTTTTTTAATAAAATTGCTCCTGATATATTCAGAGTTTTCTTTGATAGTTGTTTGGCAGTTTTGAAAAGATGAAAACTTGGTATATTGATGTCAAGTCGGAAAATATGTAGGGACTGATGTAGAAGTAGAACAGTACTTCGGAGCTACCCACAGAGAGTGATCAAGGCTTGGAAAGGTAGAAAGAGCATACATATGTCTGCTCAACGTGCCCATCCTCTGAAGCTCATTGCAAATTTTCCCTGTTGGCAACATGGAGCCGCACAACTTTCATAGGGTATTTTTTTTTTAACATAAAATTAAAACAAGCCAAACAAAATATACGTTAAAACAGTTTTTTTAAAAAATTAATCTCTAAGACTGAAATAGTGGATGTCATTGTAACGAATCAAGCAACTGACATTTCTCCTTAAAATGTCATTTTTTAACAAAGAAACTCATTTTATTTTTCCTGTAAACGGCTGTTATGCTTCAAGAATTAACTTCGGTACTTGAACATATGTTTAAAGACGCAGCGTAAAGAATTCGGTTTTATATAAAATTATAATTAGATAAATAATTAAATGACTTTCCAAGATTAAAATTATGTTGATTTTCATAAGTATCTTTTTTGTCACACGGAAAATCATTCCGCTTAATCGTCTTAAACGAGCAAAAGCCTTTTTAACATAATACAGAAAATGGGGAAACTCCATTATAGTCATTCACAATGAATTGACAATTTTCAGAATTCTATTTTTTTAAACAAAATATACGAAGAATATCGACTCTTAAAATTAATTTGAGTAAATTAAAAGAATCTATTACTACTTTTTATTTTAAGAATTCTCACTAACAAGCTTTTTGGTAGATTACTTTCTACAGAGTTTTTCGAACAAAACAGATAAAAATGCCGGAGAAAAGGTTTTAGTAGTCACGATTGCAAGATAATGGAAGAATATAAAATAAAGTAAAACATGACCAGATTGGGATAGCATTATTTGCCCCCGTAAAGATGAATGGAAACTTTCTGAAAATAAAATATAATTTACTCAAAATTCACTTCTTACTCAATAGCAGAGAAATAAAAATTTAAAAAAAAAAAAAAAAGAAAGTAAAATTTAACTGTTCATTTTTTTTCTTGGGTGATAATGCGGCCGCAAAAGCCGAATTATTGGAGCCGTTTATCTTAACAAAAAAAAAAAAAAAAACGCCCTTTCTTACACTTAAGATCCTTAAAAGACTGGAGAAATGCGAATGTAGATTTCAAGACAAGCACTTGGAAAGTGCCGACACAGCAGTCAAAGAATGCCAGACAATTTTTACAGTATCAAAGTGCAATCTTCTTTTGTTTAAATGAATAGAATTTTGAAATAATATCTACTTACAAGGAGAATCATTTGCGGCTGCCATCTTTCTGTACAGCGGTCACGGCAATGATGTCAACCCAATACTGAAGACGAGGCTGGAATCCCCAATAGACACGCCCCCCTTCTGTTGGCTCCCGACTTGGTAGGAAGTGCGAATTGAAACTATACTACTACCAGAAGTAGTAGTTCTTCCTAACTGCTTCTTGATTAGATGTGTTTATTTTAAATTCTCGTTTTCCTGTTTACCCTTAGTTCTTGCTTTGCTTCATTTTCTCTAGGACTTTTCTGGGCTTTGCACTCTGAAAAAGGACACAAATACAGCAGACCGCTTGCTTTAATTGCACTTTTTCATATTTATGTCTTTATTGCCTAAAAATGCCTATATTCAGCTTTCTACTGTCTTGTCAAAACAAAGGAAGAGGCGTATCGTCTATCAGTTTATCTGCAGCGCTTGGTTGTTTTGTCAATTTCAATTTATGCCGCCTTAAAGTAGTTCTCTTTTTTTAGATAGGTGAAGTCTTTCTTTTGTTCTTGTGGAGATTTATGCAAATAACAAATAAGGGAAGTAGTAAGCTCACCCAGGAAAAATTTCAAGTTCAAAAGAAGGGTTAGAATAGATTTTTAGCTTTTGATTTTATTTGGTGACTGACTGTGATGAAGCAGTGAGCGAGTGTGCACTTATATATCTCTTCTGCTATTCTTACAGACACTGGGAAAATGGATGAAAACCCGAGGTTACACGAGCAGGCTATAAAAGCCTTGTGTATGTGTGTGCGATATTCTGGAATACTGTTGACTCAACTCCTCACTTCATCCGGTCAGGCCCTCTACACACAGATCGCTTTTGTTTAATCTCAGATCACAGAAAGGCTGCTCAAATTTTCACTCCCGCGAACCGGCAGCCTCGCTGAAAAGTGAAAACCTGCGCTGATTGTCGCTACTATCAAATGAATGAACAAACTCTCTTTGTAATTTTCTCTTTTCCTTTGGTGTGTGTAAGAAGAGTGAGTTAGAGAATATATATATATATATATATATATATATATATATATATATATATATATATATATATTTTTAAAATGTGAATGCAGGCTTGAACAGCATGCACAGGAGAAGTTTCGTATAATTTGAATTAGTTTTAGAGAGATGATTTGTTTGGTTAGTACAGGTGTGTATTTTTTCCATAAAAACACTTTTCTTTTTGTTTGGTACTAAGCCGTAGCGCCATTTAAAATATTATCTAAACACATTGTTCTTTAATTTATATAGGAGACACTTTTATAAAATTTTATTTTATAAAGAAAACTCGTGTTACAAGTAGAAATTTGTAAAGCTCAACAAAAAACAAACAGAAAAAACAAGGACTTTTTCTCTTCTCTTTCATTGTTGGAAATGGAATTTACATTTTTGTACGCTGGATTTCATATCAATCTAATTTTGGATTAATTTTGCAATCATCATCATCATCAACAGCATGGTTATAATCGCCATCATCATAAGACACCATGTTTTTCCTTTGGATTAACTATTTAAATTTTGGTACAACTAAGATGTGTGTGTGTGTGTGTGTGTGTGTGTGTATGCGTGTGTGTGAGAGAGAGTGAGAGAGAAAATTACATTATTTTAAATCTTAGGTATCACTTTTTTTGAGGTACCTACATTTTATTTTTAATTGACATAAACTTTCACAAAAAAATTGTAAGCCAATATAGACGTACACAAATAAACACATACGAACTTGCACACATACGAACTTGCACACATACGAACACATGATAGAGAATATGGACTCATTCTACAACACATACATTTATTTTTTTTATGTCTGGATCACATTTCATTTAATTATTACCTAATAGAATACATCGAAGTTTCAGGATTGTTCCGTCCATACATTTTTTACATAATACATATGAAACACAGTAACACTTTAATGCATATTCACAGACACACAAAAATACGTGTGTGTACATGCGCATTCTTTCTCAAGCACAATGCACACATGCATCTGCCTATATAGAAACGGAGAAAACCGAAATTAATTATACAAAAAAAAAAAACAAAAAAAAAAAAACTATTGATGAAAAGAAAACCGGCATGTAACTGATGGCACTTTACAAACACAATATAATAAGATGATCGCAATTTTATTAATATAGAATTTTTATGAGTACAATTTTCTAATTTAATGGAATTTAAGTTAAAACTACTAAAATAATAAAAAAAAACTGCACACACACACACACACACACACACACACACACACACAAAAATAGATATATTAACTAACACGGACACACCCAGTGTTACACACGCTTCCATAAACTTTCTTTTCTCTGTAGTCCATCTCCTCCCCAACTGGATTGATGATGGCTATGAGGCAGTGCTGCGCAGTCATGAGGAATTAGGAACCTAACAACATATTAAGAGAACGAAGAGCATTACCTAAGTAAAATTTCAAACTGCTACAATCAGATGCCATATATCTTAGGATATTGTTAGGGAAACTACAGCGCTATAAATTTTCCTGATCTTTATGAGGTGTTCCCTCTTTCCATTACTTCACGAAATTATTCTTCAGTATACTTCTAATCCCCAATTAATATATTATGGAAGAACAGCGATTAAAGATGCTTGTTATCTTTTTAATATCTCCATATTAATTAAATTAAAAGTACATATGCGCTGGAAACACACACACACACACACACACACACACACACACACACACACACACGCGCGCACACACAGTCTTGCTTATGAGAGGGAACAATTAACTCGTGACACTCATCATTCATCGTTTAAAAATAATGAAAATCTGTCTTTCCTTTTTTACAAAAACGAAGGAAAATAAAATAAGACGATAGGCAATTTTTATACTTAAATATTTTTGTTTCGCTAAAATAGAATGAATGTAAGAAATTTAATTGAAAAGTACAATATGAGGTAACACAGAAAAGTTCTCGGCTGACCCACTTCCAAAATATTTTTGGGAACACCTTAGTAAGCCCAAGAACTTTTCAGCACCCTCTCATACAGTTAACATATTATTTAATCGATAAACACGCGCATAAATAATAAATGTACGCTTGTTAATTTGGTAATTGTGAACGTATGCATTTGAATTAAAATATGGCAATGTATGTGTACATATGAATGCATACATACGCTGACATTGTGTGCACTTGCGTGTGCTAGAAGAAAGCGTGATGGTTTTACACTTTAAAGTAACTAAAATACGATATTATTTAAATCTAATTCTAGTTATAGAGTACCGAGGAAATTTACTATCACTTGATCTCTAGTGAGACACACCGGATACGACTGGTGTGAATACGCAATGATGATGATGATGATGATGATGATGATGATAATCACTTTTGAACACCTACAATGAACGACTAACTCCGGTATTACTTTGTGCCCAATCTTCTTATTTTTATTATTCATTTGAGAAAAAAAGTCACGTGCAATCTCTCCGTTATATTTGTCAGGTGATATTGATTTATGCTGTCATTACGCGTATTCGGCAAAACTTACTTTCAGATAATGGATTTGCAGTTGTGTATGTAATATTTTAAATTTATAAAAAGGGGATGTATCAGGATTTTTGAAATGTACATTTCTGTATCAAATCTTGTCCACTTAATTTGCACAGAACAGAACCTAAATGTAGCTACCATAAGATGATGACAGGTGCACATGCCGATAGAACTGCTGGAAGATAGCTACTATATAGTGTTCACGCCCTTGAAATCGTCAATTTGGCAAGAAACAATTCTATTCACTTATTTAATCATTATATCCACCCACAGCCTTTTGCATTTCCGTCTGTTATATGCACGCTGATAGAGAAAGAGAGATAGAGAGATAGAGAAATAGAGATAGATAGATAGATAGATAGATAGATAGAGAGAAATAATGTTTTTGTTATATTTTTCTTTTAACACACACTCTCTCTCTTTTAGCATTTCTTTCTTTTCCCATATTTTAAAAATCTTTTGAAATTTCGTTTTCTTTCATCATTTTACTTTTATTTTTGGTTTCACGTTTTGGGATGTTGGGATTTTTTTCCTTTGCTGAATTTTTACAATTTTTTGTATTCCAATTTTTATTTAATCTTTTGTTTTCAAGTTTCTTTGTATACATCATATTAAGAATCTCCCTTCCTCTCATTTGTTTGTCTCTCCTATTCAAGTGCTTATCCTTCTCTTATGTACCTAAGGACAGTTCAACCCCTCAAATGCAACAACAACATCACCATCACCTCATCCCGCTGGCAAACTGCAAGACTCATTTTATTTACGACCAGCAGTAGTAGTAATTATGAAGTTTAGAAGGCAGTTGTAACTACCAGCTGTCCTCAGGTACTTTAAACGACAATAACAACCAAATGAAAGAGGATAATGCTGTAGAAAAAGCGACGAACACAAAGCTTAATAGCTGAAATAATTTTCGTGATTGCCGCTGGGATTCAAGCAACAGCAGTAATCCCTTTTATTTGTTAATGAGTTAGTTAATAAGCTGATGAGTTTCTAGTTAATCAAAAAGAAAAGAGAAAAAAATAAACAAAAAACAAAAACGAATGAGATAAGAAAATAAATAAATAAATACACATCTGACAAACGCTCATAAATTTTACCAGTTTAAGACAAATCTGAATGAAATGATATTGTTATTTATTTTGTATTGTTGTTTTAGTTAACTTTTCAAAAAAAAAAAAATAAATAAATATAATCACGAGTATTGTGGTAAGAAGGGTGCTTTATTCTGGCTTGCAAGACTTTTCCCTTTACAAATCAATTTTTACAAACCAGTTTGATCAACTGTACTTGTGATCTTTGACGTTTTAGTTTTGACAAATTATGTTTCTCTGACTTATTTGGGAGTGAGGTACAGTTCATTGTAGAATCGAACCGTAAACTGTTTCAAAAATAAAAATAATCTTTTTCTGGAAAACGATATTGAAGCCGTATTTATGTTTCTCCCTTCTTGAGTAAAGAAGAGAAAAAAGTTCTTAATGTTACACGGTGTATATGTGTG